GCCCACATCAAGAAAAGTCTTCCACAATCAGAGCATGGGATTTCAGCACCACTGTTGTCGTCATTTGTGTTTAGCGTGTTTTTTCTCAGATGCTCAGTTCTTATCCTTTCTGCCTGTCACTTATTTACTGAATAGCGCTGAATGGCGAGCTGTCTGGGTCTAAATGGGAAGCATCAACACCATTAAAACTAGCAGAATGCGTAGTCATCAAAGATGTGATCATAAGAAGAAGAATCTGCATCAAGACTTATTTCAATTATTTTGTTTAAAAGAAACAGAAAACAGCACCAACATATGCAAAGTAAAGGTGACACATCTTAAAACAAATGAAACATGAATGTGACTTCTGTGGTAATCAACAATTATATAAGAACCATTTCTCAAGCACAAGTTACAGTGTGTTTCAAAATAAATATAAGTATTTTATAGATGCATAGATTTTGATAACTGCATACTTAAATAGTCCGCTTTTTCTTCTTCTTTATGTCCTCTTTTACCGCTTTGGGTGTCGAGGGAGATATATGGTCCTGCTTTGTGCTCTTTTGGCTGCTTCGACCATAGACACATCGTGGTGCTGTAAAGTTTCTCTGTTATCATTCTTTTTTGTTCTTGGTCTACCTCTTGCTCCAGGTCTTTCTCTTTTAGAATATGCCTTGTATGGTATAGCATCAGAAGGCATCTCTCCAAGAGGGCAAACCATTTGATTTGCTGTCTTTGTATGTAATTTAGAACTGGTTCTGTGCTGAGTTTATCTCGAATGACCTCATTCCTGATTTTATCTCTTCTGGTCACTCCTATCCTTTTTTAGACACCTCATTTCCATGATTACTAATTTTCTTTTAAAATAGTCTGCACAATACAATATGTCTGGGTAAGCTACACAGTTCAAAATTTAAAAAAAAAAAAAAAATTTCATGACTGGACAGCACACAAAATAATGGAGATGCAAAAGCTGTATGAAAAAAAAAAATATTTATATCTTGTGCTGTCTAGCATAAGAAATAAAACTTCAGTGAATGTTCAAACTGGGATATTTAGTTTTCAAGTGGTACCAAATAAATTTTTGAAAGTTTGCAAATTCCAAAACTATTCAACTTTAAAATACTGATATTATTTTTGGAAACATCTTTTACCTATTGCAATTAAAATTTCTATTTATTTTGGGTTGAATAAGAAAAATGTCTTGTCAATGTAACCACTGTGACTGACTGTGCACCAATGTGACTGCCTGTGCACCAGGATGACTGCCTGTGCACCAGGATGACGGTATGTGCACCATTATTCCTGCACCACTGTGAATGGCTGTGCATGTGTCATTTATTCCCCAGCTTTTAACCCTTCCAGTAACTGTTTTCTGCTGTCACTAAAGTCATCTTGTTTAACTATACATCACACACACTGGTCATCCCTTAACTATATGCAAATTGTGACTAGTACTTGTGAAGATGACAAGTTCTGCATCCTTTCATTCCTTTTAACAGTTCTGACTGATGATTTTGGCTCTAAATGACAGAATTGCAGTAGTTTTGGGTTTTTCACTTTTCTGTAAAGCTGTTTTTGGGGGCTTTTATTTCAACTCAACACAAGCATGTCGTCTAATTGTACCATGTCTGCATGTCGTCTGATTGTACCAACATGTCTGCATTGTCAACAGCAATAAATCACAGCAAAATTCGAACAGTTTGACACATTTTCAAGCCTTAACCAGAGGGTTTTTTTTATTTTTTTTTGGGTAGACTCCACAATGTTCATTGTTCATTTTTGAGATAATCTTCATTGCACATTCAACAATGTGCTTCAATCTCCTCCTGAGAATGTCTCCAAGTGTTTTTAGGCTACTAACTACCAATCGTTCTGGTTGATGTAACGACCTGTGGCTCCCACATGGTTTTCCTGTCTTGCCGCTCCAAATGGTTCACCCAAGGTATGCAGTCTGTGAAAAGTCATTTTCCACAAATCTGAAAGCCTCACAGTGTTTAGTCTTTAATTTGGCATTGATGATGTTTCTCCTGTCCATAGAGGGCCCATTCCTGATAGTCGCACTGCCAGCCAGAGCATCTGCTCTCTCACTGTCCTTCACACCAGCATGCCCTGGGACAAAAATGAAGGTGATTTTGCAAAACTCCACAATGTATCCACTGAGAACTACTGGGATAATAAGTGTGAAGTCCCAATGTCTTTCAACATGTGACTCTCGTACAACTGTCTGAAAGCCACAAGAACCATCTTTTTCCAAACCATTCATCATGGGAATCAAACCCTGGTCAACATTAGGGGACGCATTGTGAAACTATTTCACTAACCTCTAAGCCATAAAGCTGCACAGATAATTTTAATCAATCATGAAAAGAAAACAAATCTTATTTGGCAAACAGAAAACTACAAAGGCTTCATCGTTATCATCATCATGTGCCTGCCAACTGGCCTAGGCGCTCATGCTTCTCCACAGATCACAATCCCTGGTTGCCTGGAACAGTTCTCTTGATGATATCCCTGCATGCCATCGTTTCAGCCCATTCCATTGATCTTTCCTGTCATCATGGTGTTCTCCAATGTATATAGGCTTCACAGTTGACAAATCAGAGACAAAATACCACAAACACCAGTGTTAGAGGGATGTATTTGTAGTGGCCTGCTGGTAGACTGGTGAGTGGTCTACAGTGATTGTCACGAGTGCCGAACCATTTGTTTACAAATAGGTGCCAAAGGTTTGCATTCTATCACCACTGTAAGTTGACTCCTAGTATAGGAAATATTTCTAGACTCATACACCGCAATTTAGAGTACACTGTCCAGGATATTCAGTAACGAGCAGGCTGATAGAATGGCTGCTGCTGCTCCTCTGGGAGGTGAGCTACTATATGATAAAGCTGATGTGGTGAACGCTCTATCGGATCAAATGGACAGTGCAAAAGAACAAACAGAAAATACACACAGCTCGAGGCCCGCACCTCGACACCGCAGGGTACAAGAGGATCAAGATAAAATGAAATATGCTTTATACATTTAACAGAAAATAACTACCTTTACAGTCCTTTAAAGAAAGAAAATTAAACACTAAAAGAAAAGCAAATGAAATTTTAATGTTTGCCAACTAAATAAAACAGTTCTACAGAATTTTCGTTTAAGTGAATAAAATAGTTCCTCAGAATTTAAATTTAAAAAAAAATAACAGAATTTTAGTTTGAAAATACAGTCCAAAATCCATGTTGGAAATCTGAACAAACTGGATTTTTGAGGGCAACCTGTACATGGATAATGGAACAAATGGAACGATTCCCTAATAACATGATTTACCCCAGTTAACAATTGCCTAATTGTAAAAAGCATTCTCTCAATCTGCTTCCATTCAAATATGATATCTACACATCACTTGTCTCTTCATACACCCTAGTAGAAGGCTATTTAACTAAGTTCACTCACAAGCCAACATTTTTTTAAAAATGGGGATCGTCAGGGGCCAGAAGCCCGAGCCCTGGCTCAGAAAGATCAATACAATACAACTGGCAATGATCCGCAGGTCTCTTGCTAGGCCTTCGCGGGTTCGACATGGCAAATACATTTAATTCGAAGTAAACAAAAAATCCGAACTTCCTCCTCGTTAAACTGGCTAGACGCCCTGTTATATTGAGGAGGGTTTTCTTTGCAGTCTTATTTGTATTCCAAATCTTTGTGGTGTGCTGTTGCACCTGATTTCCTTCTTCTTCAGCATTCTGAGCCCTTCAAGTTCATTGCTGCAGACATCACCCGCCTCAATTCATCTCTCTGGTTGGCCTTCTCTTTCCAGTTGGTGACACCAAGAGTTTTTCAGGTCTGTGTGGACATTAACTCTCCCTTTTTCTTGATCTGCCTCATGGTCTACAACCATTTATCCCCCTTGTGTATACAGTTTTTATTTCTCTGTCATCTGAAATTCTTTCAATATGTTCCAACCATTTCAGTTTATTAGCTCTCATGATTATGAATTTCGTTATTGCTTCTAACTCTCCATTCCCTGCAATTTTCATCTTTGATGGGTACATCTGATTTCCTATTTCTTGGTTTTCTATATCTGGTATGGTCTTGTAGATCCTGGTGGGGTCTGGTCTTCTTTTCTTTATATGTTGGGTTTGGTTGCTGGTGCTTGGCATTACATTTGGCCAGCGGGCCACCAGTTAAACAGCCCTGTTCTAGGACTATCCTGTATAGCAGTGCTTTCCAAACTGTGTCGCGACACATTAGTGTGTCAGCTGGAGTGTGAAGGTGTGTCACATGAACGTTAAGTGCTAAACAGAATAATCGGCATGTAACAGTGGCGTACAAAACTATAACATTTGATTGCACACAATGTGGTGCTAAGACCATTTATAGCAATTTCATGCCACATTAAAATTTTTTAATTGTTTTCATATCAGCTACTGGTTTTAACTCTTAAATAGTATGTCAAAGTCTTGTACACAAATGATATATTTTTGTGCCGAAATGTATGTATGTGTCTGTATCTCTTAAAATGGGTTAGTGTAACCCTTTGTTTATTAGTAGACTGAATTATTGTGTCAAAAAAATTATGTCTGTCTATAATGCAGCTAGATGCTCGCCTCTGGCCTGAAGGTTTTGGGTTCGAATCTACACATCCAGTCAGATTTTATTTCTTCAAAACGACCTTGGCTGCCAGGTCAACCCGCCTAAACTGGTACCGGGTAAAGTCCTGGGAAGTAAAGGCAACCAGCATGATGCTGACCACATCATAGTTCAAGGGCTGACCAACTGGTCTGCAAAAATACGAGTCCTACCATCATGTGCCTGATGGCGTAAAAAGGTTACTTTACTAAAAAAAAGTGTGTCACAAAAATTTAAAGTTTGGAAAGCTCTGCTGTTGAATGATACTGTGGATTGCAACTGGTCTTGGAGATACTGTCAGTGTGCTGTCATCATCATCATCATCAGGTGAAGATTAAGAAGGGTTCATGACTCTGTAGTGGTAGAAATCTGACAACAACCACGTGAAGTTCCAGAGAATATCAGGGAGAGGATGTAGACGATGATGACTCCAGTGATGGGAAACAGCAGTGCTCTCTAGTATTCTTTAAATAGGGGAGTGCTGGGGAGATAAAATTAGTCACATTGTATTATTTAAATAAGAGGGGGCTGAAGATGTTTCAAAAAAAAGTTACCTTGTATTTTTTAAATTTGGAAATGGGAAAGATAGAACCAAATTAATTAACTTTTTTTTTTTTAAAAAGAGAGTGTTAAAGATGATTTAACATTAGTTATCTTGTGTTCTTTACAGAAAAATAAGGGAGTGGGGACATAATAACATGTTTGTTATTTTGTGTTCTTTAAACAGGGGAGGGCTGAGGATATCAGAATGTTATTTTTGTATTCTTTAGGTAAGAAAGGGCTGAGGATATAATAACATGTTATCTTGTATTTTTTAGGTAAGGAAGGACTGAGGATATAATAACATCTTGTATTTTTTTTTAGGTAAGGAAGGACTGAGGATATAATAACATGTTATCTTGTATTTTTTAGGTAAGGAAGGACTGAGGATATAATAACATGTTATCTTGTATTTTTTAGGTAAGAAAGGGCTGAGGATATAATAACATCTTGTATTTTTTTTTAGGTAAGGAAGGACTGAGGATATAATAACATGTTATCTTGTATTTTTTAGGTAAGGAAGGACTGAGGATATAATAACATCTTGTATTTTTTTTTAGGTAAGGAAGGACTGAGGATATAATAACATGTTATCTTGTATTTTTTAGGTAAGGAAGGACTGAGGATATAATAACATGTTATCTTGTATTCTTTAGGTAAGGAAGGGCTGAGGATATAATAACATGTTGTATTCTTAGGTAAATAGGGGAGGTATAAGAAAGATGTAAGGAACATAATTAATAATGTTGTATTCTTTAGATAATAAGGGCTGAGGATATAATAACATGGAGTGAGAAAGGTGTAAGGGCTGAGGATATAATAATGTTGTATTCTTTAAATACGGGAGTGAGAAAGATGTAATATAATTAATAATGTTGTATTCTTTAAATACGGGAGTGAGAAAGATGTAATATAATTAATAATGTTGTATTCTTTAAATACGGGAGTGAGAAAGATATAATAAAATTATTTAACTTGTATTCTTTAAATACGGGAGTGAGAAAGATATAATTAAAATTAATTAACTTGTATTATTGAAATAAGGGAATAAGAAATAAAAAATAAATTATCTTGTACTCTTTAAATAAGATTTAACAAACATAGCATCAAACGTTCAATTACGAAAAAGTTATGGAAAGACAAATATATTGAAGCCAACAATAACAGATCAAGCAGATGTAACACTAGAGACAAAAATAATTAAACAGATCATTTTACCTATTTTTTGTATATTCAAAGGCATTATGACAGGCACTGGCAAGGCATTGACAGCTTTTAAAAACCTGAACAATATATGTTACTCTGAACTGTAGTTTTAAAACCAGTTATGCATTTTCAAATATTATGTTGTTTCTTTTCAAAAATGACCTCGACTCCAAGGTGGACCCAGCCTTGAGTGGGTACCGGGTGCAGTCCCAGAAAGTAAAGGTGGCCGGTGTGGTGCTGACCACATCATCCACCTTGTGCCGATTGGTCTATAAAAATATAGGTATATATATGCCCTATACACCTAAAGGCGTGGAAAAGGGACCTTTACTTTTTACTTAAGTTATTTCAGTTTTAACATGTGCCTGTGAAAGTTAGAAACCCACTAAAGACATGGAACAAAAGTTTAATGCATTTGAAAACAAATGCCTAGAAAAAGGAACATAAAATGTGATGAATTCAAGAGCAGTGAAGAAGTCAGAAAAACGTATGAGCAACTACTGTTAGAACAGTTACAAGACAAAGAAGAAGGCACTATACTGGACAGATCCTGAAAAGACACAAGCAGAGTGAACTGGGAAATAAAGGGACTTGATAAAATAAATGAAGGTTTCCCAGTACTCTATAATTTAACAAGCAGACAGATTGGCTGGATTTGCACCACTGGGTCTTGCCGGCTTACTATACTCGCTGCTGAATATCAGGACAGAGCACACATGGGAATGCCCCGAGTACTGTGATGTCAGACTCAACTCAACTCAACAATTCCTTCTGTCCTTTTGATTATATTTCACTCTTTGGCTATCCTCCGAATAATAGTCCCAAATTATCAAGGCTTAGAAAATACCCTAACAGGGCCTCAGTCATATGTAAATTGCGGACCTCTTTCCGGCGATTATACCGCCACCATCAAGAGTATCGCGCCGCATTGCGGCGCATAGGGAGGGCTAAACTAGATGGCTGAGACGAGCAAATAACATTGAGGAAGCTGCAGGAGATGCGGTAGCTGCTGCTTGTGAGTCCCAGCCATCTAGTTTAGCCCCCCTCCTCGCCGCAGGGGAAACTCTCAACGGTGACTTTAACTGGGCGGAAACTTTTTCGTTGTGTGCGGTATAGTCGCCGCAAAGAGGTCCGCAATTTATATTTGACTGAAGCCCTGTTAGGGTATTTTCTTAGCCTCAATAATTTAGGACCATTATTCGGAGGATAGCCCACTCCTTTTCTCCCAAAGCTAGTTAAGTAATAAAGACAAGATAATAAACTGCTCTGTACATCCCCTATGTGGGTTCTAAGGCCCCATTGACGGGGAAGACAAGAACAGACCCACTGCATCCCCAACAAGCATGTTGTAGGAGTCGAATAATTGGGGGCTTCCTTCCAAGTTGGAGTGTATCTCTGCAAGGAACCAACAGACTGCACACAAATGAGCAAGAACTGTAAAACGGATGCACACGCAAAACCCAAGTCCTGGAAGAAAGCCAAAGTCCAGAAATGAACGAACAACCTGGTCTTTCTGTCAGGGTTTACAGCCAGTGAACAAAACAACATGTTCTACACAAACTCTACTTACCACTGTATCCCAGGAAGGTAATGTATATGTAATAGCCAATGGCCACTAGCCAGAACGTGTTGCCGAACATAAGTGAAACGAACAGATCCTTGTTGATGACATCTATATGGAGACATTTTTATGAAATTAATGTCAAAGACCAATGAGTCAACATTATACCAGAAAAGAACAAGAGTAATGAAAAAGACATCTATACTTATATCTTCTTTCTTCTTTGCATTCACAGGCTGTTCTGGTTGTTTGCTCACCTGTAGTCTTGGTCCTGAATCTGAGTGTTGTGTGCACATCCGTTTTACAGATCTGACATATCTGCATGCAGACTGTTTATTCCTTTCCTCTCAGGCAGAAGCACTCTGACTTCAACGTCTGTTCAGTGTGTGGTAAATAATCCTGAAAGCACAATCTTGATCAACTACGTGTCCAGAGTCAAGCAAATGACGTCCTATCAAAGAATTAGGTTCTCTCTTCTTGGCTGATCTTGATGGTCAATTTGAAGTTACCATGGTAATCACGTAACTGATTTTGGCCTCTCATCATGTAATATATACTCATTACAAACCTTCACTCTACTGACCTCTTATAGTGTACAGTATACCCATTACAAACCTTCACTCTCTTGTCCTCTCATCAAGTACAGTATACTTTTTACAAACCTTCACTCTACCAGCCTCTCATAATGTAATGTATACCAATTACAAACCTTCACTTTACCGGTCTCTCATCATGTAATGTATACCAATTACAAACCCCCACTCTACTGTTTTTTTCATCCATTCACTCTACTGGTTTCTCATCATGTTTTGTATACCCACTCTACCGGCCTCTCATCATGTACATTTAGTGGGGGAAAACTTTCATACTACTGGTCTCCCATCCCCTAAGAGTAGACTTAATCAACATTATTCTAACTAGCCTATTTCGTAGAAACAAAGAATTGTATTTAGACTGCAAACTGAACACAACAGACTCTGCAACCATATGTATGGAAAATTCAAGATTTGGGACTCACTGTCCATGTGCACAGGCATCCCATAATACTTAACATGTGCTGCAGACATGCTCTCTACATGCAGTAGAGAGATCCCAGATCTGGCCAGTTAGAATTCTGGTGGAAACCGAGCTGCAGGGATCAGTGGAGGACATGTGTCACAACATAACTTTTTATAAGAAGCATGTGGCCTTCTTATCTAAAAAATCAAAAACACAAAGGGTGAACTACTTCAGCATTCTGAGCCCTTGAGGTTCACTGCTGCAGATATCACCTGCCTCCCTTTATCTCTCTGGTTGGCCTTCTCTTTCCAGTTGGTGACACCAAGTGTTTGCAGGTCTGTGTGGATATTTTCTCTCCATCGTCTTCTTGGTCTGCCTGGTGGTCTACGACAATACATCTCCCTCGTATTTACAGTTGTTACTTCTCTGTCCTCTATCATTCTTTCAATATGCCCAAGCCATTTCAGTCTATTAGCTCCTATGATGCCAGTTATCAGTGCTGATTTAAACAGATTATAAATTTCGTTGTTGCTTCTCACTCTACATTCACCACTGTTTGCATCTTTGATGGGTCCAAAGATTCGTCATAACTCTTTTTTCGAAAACCTGTAAAAAGGCTTAATCTCTTTTAGTTGTGCTCCAGGTTTCAGAGCATATAAAATGACTGGTCTTATCAACGTTTTATATATTTTGATCTTGGTGTTGCGAGACAGACACTATGACTTTAGCAGATGTTGAAGGGCATAGTATATTTTATTTCCAGATTGTATTCTAGATTGTCTTTCTTCTCTCAGCTTATTGGAGCAGTTGAAGTTTGCACCCAAGTACTTATATGTTTCCATCCGTTTGATTTTCATATAATCGACTTGTATAACAGATTAAAAAATTTTGAAAATAATACGAAGAAGAACTATATCTTAGATTACTTCAATCCAAGTTTTTCATCCACTCAGTACTGCTAATAGTATCCATTTTTAATAAACACATATACCAATCAAATCTTGTTATGCATCACTTTTGGGATGACATTTTTTTTAAGCTAAAACCAACTAAGAGCCATCATACACTTACAGTTTATAAAAGGCAACTGGAAAAAGTGCAGGATCATCAACAAGGGGAAGAAAGCATTGAGATGAACATCAAAAGCATAACCCCATTCAACATCTTGTCCTCTTGGTGGGCTGATCAACATGTAATGATTGGTTATGAACCTAGAGACAGATACAGAACATGCTACTATCAGCTAAAGAGAATATTTGCAACCTCTTAAACCAGGGCTAATCAACTGACAGCCTGCAGGTTCAAATCTGGCTGGCGGAGGCTTAACAAGTGGTTCACGGATCATTGCCAGTTGTACTGTATTAATCATCTTTCTGTGTTGGGAGCTCAGGCTTCTGATGATCCCTATTTTTATAATGTTGGCCCCTGAGTCGCCAGTTGTACTGTATTAATCATCTTTCTGTGTTGGAGCTCAGGTTTCTGATGATCCCCATTTTCAAAATGTTGGCCCCCGAGTAAACTAAGCTGAAAAGCCCTGTCCTATACACTCAGAGGTTTGCCCTTCTTCTTCTTAATAGCATTCACCACTTGTAAACTCTGACTGAAAGTTATAGCATACAGGAGAGAAATCTTGCATATGCAATGCTTATGGTGCTTTGTTTACTACAATTTATTGCCGTTTTGATGGCGCTTCATTGTCGCTGCTCTCTAATTCCAATGATGAGGACGTCGGACAGGCAAACAGCTTTTTCTTGGACACGCCGGTTTCAGCCGTCGATATTGATGGCCTAGTCAAATCTTGTTCACTGTCAGAAGTACACATTTCAAAGTCATCTTCGCTATCACTCCTTGACAGAAACTATATCAATTCTTCATCAACTTTAACAAGTTTTCTTGCCATTTTGTACTAAGTGTAGAATAATCCAAAAGCATAAACATATTTCAGGGCACAAAATACACAGATCACTGACCACGCTGTCACGGTAAACAAAGCAACGGGATAACGCAGAATGCAGTAAACGCACCTTAAACACACCTAAAAGCACGTGCCAGTGCTTTTAATCGTATGTAAATGGGTCAGTTTAATCTAAATATTGCTAATGTATATTGACCTTCAGCCAATAAAATACGAGGTAACAGAAATCTGTAAGAAAAGTCCAAAAACGGCTTGGGACGTCCATAGCACTGGGGGTCAAACAAAAAAAACGCCCAAAGACGGACGTAGCAGCGTACAGGAAATCGGGAAAAGACGGCCATAGCAGCGAAAGGGTTAAAGTATACTGAATTTGAAAGAAAACCCCTAAATAGTAAACTTTTACAACATGCTTGTTAGGTAGGGGAAGGAGAGGGGTGAAAGTCTATTCTTTTTCTCTCATAATAGCGCCCCAGAGATCATCCTGGGAGAGAGGTTAAGTGATTTAAGAACTAGCATCCTAGCACACCTGGCATACCTATATATGCTCTGTCTCCCGCAGCAAATGTCTTACGGTGTAGATGCTAACTGTTCCTGTAGCAAACTGATCATTATTCTCTTCCTCTCATATGTCCCTCCTTGCCGGATACCCTTCTAATTCACACATTCTTAAATATGTTATTTCAACAAAACTCTTCTTTTAGCATTCATTTATAAATGGTATTCAGAATGTCTCCTTTGTCCAGTGTTCCTGTCGCTATAGATTTTGTAGCCAAAAAATCTGCTCTTTCATTCCCTTGCACTCCTGCATATACTGGACAGTATATCCATTTGTCACAGTAATGCTGATGTGCTGATGCTTGATATCCACTCATGCCACAAATTTATATTTTAAACCTACTACAGTACCACCTGAGAGTCAGACACTATCATTCCTCTGGTAACTGTATTTTCTTCTATCCATTTCAGAGCTGCAGCAATTCGTAAACAAGTGTATACTATGCATATTATCATGTAGCAAGTCTTTCAGAGAATGTCACTTCCATTACAGGCCGCCTGAAAGAAATCTGGTCCCAAGCCAGCTCCCCCACCTCCTGCACCTCTCCTATGTCACATGTCTGCATTTACACTGGTCGGCCTTGACTATCATAACTCGTTTATTGGACCACATTTCAGAGTTGAGTTGTCTGAAAACAAATACAACCAGTACTAAGGACTGAACCCAGATCACTAGGTTAGAAGGCAAACACACTGTCTTACAGAATCTGTACGGCTGATAATCTCCATCAGGAGGTTTTTCAGATGCTTGTCTAAGCCGGCAACATGTTGTGTAAAGGTCAGGATTTTTGTGTGCAAGAGAATATACATCTTAATGCAAACGAAGTAACAAGTCAACACAAAATACCTCTTCCATTTCTTCAGGCTTACTGGGTATGTGGTAAGTAAGTCTCTTCTTCTTCTTTGCGTTCACTGACAGTAAACTCTGTTTTTTTACAGATCAGGCTTATTTGTATGCAGACTACTAGTTCCTCACCTCCTTAGAGAATCACAAAACAGAGATTCCATAGCTCCAAATGATAATCCCCTATGAACTGAGCAACACATCCTCAAAACAAAGCAACGATCTTCACAGCCTGAGGCAAACAGTCTGCTAACTTTGCCACGGAGACCCTCCTATCTGTTGTTATGTAATTACAAAATGAAGCAGCAGTATTATCTTACTCACCAAAAAGTTGTTGCAATAAGAAGCCCCACACCGATGCAGTCCACAAATATCACCCACATGAGAAACTTGACAAACCCCAAAAAACCTAAGCTCAGCACCAAGGTGAACCCAACAGATGAGGCTGAAATGGTTACAAGTGAAACATAAATTATCACATCTAATACAGAATTTGGCACAAGAAACTGTCGCAGTTAAATCTGAAAAATCATATGTAAAACAAAAAATGATGCATGTAAACATAGACATTGTGACGTTAACTATGCTACATGTCCACTGATTATTCCCTATATATCTCAACCCTTTTTTCATGCATTCTATTGCAATATATCCTTGTCATTGAGAGTTAGAAAAAGAATTCTTGCTTGCTACATACATCCAGTTTTAACATATGGCTGTGAATCCTGGACTATCGGTAGGCAGGCCAAACAATTTCTTGAGGCCTCAGAGATGTGGTTTTACAGAAGAATGCTTAGAATACCTTGGACAGCCAAAAAGAGCAACCTAGAGGTTTTGATAAAGGCGGGAGCCCGAAGACAATTTATCACAGACATCAGGAGACAGTCATCATTTTTTGGCCATGTTTTGAGAAGAGGGAAAATAGAACATGTTGTGATCACTGGAAAGATCTGTGGAAGGAGGGATAGAGGAAGACAACGAGAGAAGATGCTTGACAGTCTTGTTGCATGGCATGGAGGTGTGTCGGCACACAAACTGATACATGCTGCAGGAGATCGTGGATTACGGAGAGGCATGATCGCCTACGCTAGTTGGCAAGGCACCTGATTATGATGATTGCATTAACTCATTATGCCCCATTTATTATCTCAACTAGTCTGTCCCATAATTATATTTAACTCATAAAGACTCATAGATTTGTATTTTACTAACATGCAGAGACTTTAGAATTAAAGGTATTTTAGAAAAATTACTGAAGAGTTAAGCAGCTGTCACATGTCAAATATAAACTTCACATGTAAAGCAGCAAATTTCACATGTAAAATATAAACTTCACATGTTAAAGCAGCAATTGTCACAAATAAAATATAAACTTCATATGTAAAGCAGCAAATTTCCCATGTAAAATATAAACTTCACATGTTAAAGCAGCAACTGTCACATGTAAAATATAAACTTCACATGTTAAAGAAGCAACTGTCACAGGTAAAATATAAACTTGATGTGTAAAGCAGAAACTGTCACACATTATTATAAATATTTTTATGTATAGTTTAAAATAATCATCATTCTTCTAATCAAAATAAGGGTTAAACAACTGCTTGTATTAATTAACACAACATGGTGAAGGCAATGTGGCATCAAGTGGCCAATGTAACAGAACGAAGTATCCATATCTGGAGAGATTGATTTAGCAGAATGAGCTAAAGGTCTGGGATGATTTTCAATGGTAGGGAGGGAAAAAACAGGCAGACTTTCAACCAGGTTAAAGCAGGCACCAGGGGTACTCAAACACATCATGTCTGTACGCTATCAAAGCTGTTTATTTAGATGTTTTGGCTACTGCCCACAGACTTCCTGCCATCAAAAACTCAGCTTTCTCAGGGCAACAGAAAAAAAAGCTTGTTTCAATTTTTTGGAGTGAACGGTAATAAGCGGTCAGATTCATGGAAGAAGGGGAGAGGTTGATCAGCATGGGATGATGGATTTAGATTATCAAAAATACTTGGGGCATGAAAGTTCACCAGGCAGGAAAGTGAACAATAAGTTTGCAAGGCGGAAAAGTTAACAAAAGGCCAATAGCCTTTTTTGGTATGCCGTGATGAAAGCAACATTTTGCAAAGGACCTACCATTTGATGATGATGATGATGTGAATGTTAGTAACATCTAACAATGAATGTAAGCAATACAAATTATATTAATAGTCTGCCAAGCAGGCTTTTATAAAAACACTTACCACAAAGCCAAAATGTGAGAAGAACAAGGAAAGCTGGATCATCTCTTGCCCATTGGTCTTTTGTTTCTAAGATAAATTGAATAATGAACAAAACAATTTAATTAATTAACAACAAATTGAATAACAAACAATAATCCAAAAAATAAACAAAGCAAGTGTTTAAAGGTTTGGATTAACATGGAGTTAACTCCAAACGGCTGTCTCTCTACGCAAAAATGCTAGCCACCTGCCTGGAGTGTGCACAATGCGTAAACTCTCTAGCTCCAGCTAGGATCCACAGAGATCTCCGTAAAAAATTTATAATAAATAAACCTACAACATCTGGACCCCCCCCCCCCCCAAATTTTTTTTAGCTGTAAGTCTCATTCATCCTCACATAAATTTGCTTATTTGGCCATAATGAGTTTATAATGTGAAAATTCAACAATTATTATGGTACTGCTGGATGCTATTGAGATCTGACCAAAATTAAACTGACATAAAATTATGTTTGGGAGCTCAATAAATACAGAAAATACCATTATTTTATACTATTGTACTATTATATGTCATATATGGCTTACAGTGCTAACATAAAGAAGCAATTGCAATTCTACCAGCTGTGGTGGCACAGTTGTTAGAGCACTGGACCAACCTCCATCCCTATCATAGGCAGAATTATGTCGCTCCTACCCTTTGCTCTGTGTTCCATTATTATATCTCTTTAGCACGACCAAGGGGTATCCCTGATTTTCAGGGTACAGACCTGATATGGCAGAGAACTGATTCTGATAAAGGAAAAACCCTTCTTGCGCGCTACTTGGAGCAAACTGACCAAAAAGACGAAGCTGCAAGAATAGGGGTTAAGATGAAACTGTCGATGCTGTGCGAGAACACTGAGCTAGGCACTGATTTCACAATCACTGCAGACACCTTAAGAACTTGCCTCAAGAAATCGCGCAGCACTGCTCCAGGTCCTGACGGCATCCGATACAATGACATGCTGATGATGTCGAATGCTGATTTGAAAAGCGTGGCAAAGGAATTCAATATCAGCATCCAGAGTGGCCAGATACAAGAGGAATGGCTCCATAGTTATTTGTTCCCACTACCAAAGCCTAATAAAGACCACTCAAAGATCTGCGGCTACAGAATCATCTCGATGCAGAATACTGTTGGCAAACTTTTGGAAAAAATTGTCGCACAAAGATTGACCACCTACTTGGAACTACATGATAAGTTCCCATCAACACTTGGAGGGTACAGGTTGAAGAAAGAGACATGGTTCAATGCTGCTGTTTTCGCCTACGATGTGTACGAGGGATTTCAGATTAAAGAAGAGACATGTGCGGCAGTGTTGGACTTAGAAGATGCCTACAATAAAGTACCATACGAATATTTAATGCAATTACTGCTTAAACTAGAAGTCAACCATATTCTGATCCGCTGGATTGCTGCGGTCCTGTTCCAGAGAAAGATTGTACTAAGATGTGGTAGCTGGTCCTCAGAACCGCAAACGATATGTCCCGGCTTGCCACAGGGATCACCGCTATCACCAGTCTTATTCAACGTTTATACGGTGATGATCACTGAGCAGCAGTTGAATGGAAAGGGAAGGACTTTGTCATTTGCTGATGACATTTTGATTTATCGACGAGGGCGTGATAGACAGGAGATCGCCAGCACAATGCACAAAGAACTCGATCGAATTGCCGCCTGGTGTGATGGTTCCAATGCCTATGTCAATCCTTCGAAGGCATCAGTGTCATGGTTCTCTTTGAACAATCACATTGTCAAGTCGGACTTACCAGAAGTGAAAATGCGTGATAATATATTGATCAGAACCAACGTTATGACGTTTCTCGGGGTGAGGTTCGATCGCAGCTTGTCATTCAGGGAACACGTTGACCATGTGATAACAAAAGCACGCAAGGTCTATCTGCAATGAGGATTATGGCTGCTTCCAATATCGAGCAAAGACTACTAATACTTCTATTCTACGGTCTGGTCCTTTCACCCATTGAATACGCTCTGGCCATCCTCACTGTCAGTGCTACCCAGATTGAAAGACTCGAAAAGGTGCAAAATGAAGCCATGCGCATTATTTTGGGATGTACAAGAGACACATCCTGTGAAGCAATGAGGTATCTACTTGACTTTCCAACAATGAACCAAAGGATCAGGATGTGGAGGGCTCGGGCATACCTCAAAATATGTGCTGATAAGAAACACCCACTGCATCAAGCGCTTTTTAGTGAAAAGGGCGACAGACTGAAGAGGGGGAAAATCGTGGCTAGGTCGGGCAGAAGATGTTATTAGGCAAATATGCAGCCTAACCAACATCATACCTGGTGCAGAATGGATACCTGTGCCTCAGGCGTTTATTTGTACATTTTCCTGTATTGTCACACTCAACAGGCGATGTAGAGAAGAGAATCCTGTTGCTGTTAATGCAGAGGTCAACGCTCTCATCGGTGAAAATTCAGACGAAGCAGATGCACTAATCTATACAGACGGATCCGTTATACGCCAAAGAAGAAGCGCATGGGCATTTACAGCACGCTCAGCGGGCAGAACAGTCAAAGAAGCCAACGGTGCCTTCTCCGTCACAACCAGCAGCATGACGATGGAGGTGATGGCAGTGACGCAAGCGTTTGCCTGGCTTGAAACACAAAAATACACCCGCATATGTATACTCAGTGATTCAATGAGTATGATCCGGAGGGTTTAGGCAGGTTCAGTGCGAAGACAATGGCTTGAATCATTACAGAAGTCCACTGTGCGTGGAGTCACCTTTATTTTTGTTCCGGGACACGCAGGCGTCGATGGAAATGAAAGAGCTGACAGGTTGGCTGGATCTGCTATCACTACCGACGGTCGGCCTATGGATCATGCTGATATTATCAATGCCCTCAGAGAAATGGGAAGGATAGAGGACTTTGGTGGCAGTGAATCCACATCACTCGCCAGAATGGCAGACTTGGGAATTAAGATCGGCACAGCAAAAAACGAGACGCACACCGGACACGTCAGAAGACTTGTTAATCAACATAGAACTGGTACTATTAGCCATCGGACGTTGGGGTTCATACTGAGGGGAGGATCTGAGCACCTATGGACATGTCCGGAGTGCAATGACGATAACCCAACTAACTAACTAACTAACTAACTATCTCTTTAGCATGGCTCTCTGTTGCAGTTGGTACCAGGGCATTTTTGTCAAATGACCAAACCACTGCATCTGTAAGACGGTTCATTTTTTTTATTTTATCTCTTCTTGTTACTCTGGCAGCTCTTCTAAGACATCTCATCTTTGTTTTGTCAGCTGTAGTTAGGATCCATTTTTGACACAGGTAGCATATTGTCCCCAGAACACCAAAGACAGAGATCTGTGCATGAACGCCAATGCCAGCTGGCAAGGTACTTGATGACGATGAGCTACTGCTATGAGGGTACCATTATGAATGAAGTGAAGCAAAAAAGATGAAAAACATATTTGGGGGTGGGGTGGGGGGGGGGGGGGGGGGGGGGGGGGGGGGGGGGGGGGGGGGGAGACAATAAATTTAAAAAAATTTCTCATTTTTAATATTCACTTTTAATTTTAAAAAATTCTGCATCTGTGACAAGCATCTCTGAGTAAGAAGTACACATTTTCTTTTCAACACTACATTTTTTTAAGCAGTAATTTTTCAACTGAGGTGAGGAAACGTTCTTAACAGCAATAGGGAGCCGATCCTGATGTACATTGAATCGTGGACAGCCTGCCAGTTAGTAAATAATTTTAGGGAAGCTGCTGAGGTGTGGTTTTATTGATAAATGAAGAGAAAATGAATGAATAAACAAACTTTTTTTTTTCAAGGGGTCAAAAATTGGGCACGCAAACCTGTCTTGCATTCTGCCATTCCAAAACACTCATCTTTCACACAGCAAAAGTTTTTTGTTATAAATAAAGCATGTTATTATGTTCATACAAAAATGTGTATAATATCAAAAGAAAGGAAAACACACAAAAGCATGGATTGTAAATATATGCAACCACACAGGCACACACGCGCACACACACACACACACACATATTTCAATACATACAAACACATATTCATCTATCCATCCACACACACACACATGCATGCACACACACATATGCTTACTACACACCCACTCATTCATACGGAAACATAAACTCTCACATACACCCACACATATACTCTCAAAACAGATACATACATAGATACATACTTAAACAACCACATATAAACAATCATGCAAACTCAAACATACACACACATGTACACTTACTTTTACATACAGACACTCAGACATACACATGTGACAGAGGACACAACAGATAGATATAAAGTGTAATTAAGTTGTTTTGAAAGAAATTAACTCACAAGGAGAACTGACCAAGATAAACCCATATTAGAAGGAGGCAATCTACATTCTTTGATCATGAGAAAAGAAAAATGTGTTCTCCCACAGATTACACTGTGACAACAGGAAAGCTGGAGTGGAAGAAAGACAAAGGTAGATCAAGGGAGAAGATATTGAACAGTCTGGCATTATGGCACAGGGGATCATCTGTGTAAGAAATGACTGAAAGCACACAAGACAGACAGCTGTGGATAGACAAGACTACAATTGCCATTCAGCATGGCCTGTCAGAATAAGTCATTCAGTGTTTACTTTATATATACATCTTCCAAAAATGTATAATAATGTACACTTACGTTTTCTGTACTGAAAGTTTCTATACCTGTGACAAAACAAACAAAAAAACAAAGTTATGCCCAAAAGTCACACTACAGTTAGTAACAATTTTATTTTATTCATTAAGAATGTTAAAATAATATATAATTTTAATGCCTTTACACTGGAACCTACATGGATACAGGAGACAGTAAACCCACTGATAATGCAAGAGGTATAAACTATTAAAGATGCAAGATATACATTGCTGTTTGTTAAAATATCTAGCCACGTTTCTACAGTATGCTCAGCTGAGTTGAGTTGAGTCAAGAATTGACATCACAGCATTCAGGGCATTCCCATATGCACTCCATCCACAACCTCAGCAGCCAGCGCAGAGTTCCAATACTAATGGTACCGGTCGTAGTCTGGTTCTATGTCCGTCTTGCCTTTCCTCTGAGCGTAGTGTGCCTGCCAAACCCTCTGGTCACATCCAGGTGCATCATTCGCTCCAGCCCATAATAATCTAGTTTCTCTTCTGCTTTGTTATTTGTTTCCAAAAGGCTCTGACCACATCCGCCTTGTCATGTATCAATTCACCACCCAGTGGTGCAGATCCAGTCAATCTGTCTGCCTGTTCAATTCCCAAAACGTGGGCATGGACTGCAGAGAAGATCCAAAGTATGCTCACTACCCGTGATCTTGCAAGTGAAGCTTGCCACTCTGCTCAAAGCAATCCTGCCTTCACCTTTTTCAGCATACTTTCAGAGTCTGTTACAATTACTACATGTGTATGTATCTTGTTCTCTAGCCACCGGCAAGCTGCAGTGACCGCCTCCACCTCCATTCTCATGCTAGATGTAGCACATCTGGCCTAATGTGATCATGACCCTACATACGTCAGACTTTTCCTCTGGTACTCTGACCCACTCCTCTCCTTGCCCAATGTTCTTCAGCATGCATACTTGTCTTATTGTGTTTTCTGCTTGAGCATCCAAAGCTTCATACAAAGGGTGCTTTTTATCTGTGGCTACTCTGAGGTAGCCTTGCCCGGCAACACCTTTAGTCTATCTGCAATATCGGCAATGCAAGGATGTATTACAACAGTATGCTCCGATAAAGTGTAAAATTCTATGCACTGCTTCTTCTTATATCTTACTTAACTGCCCATAAAAAGGTGGTTGGTACATCGTGCTGTGGTTTACAGCCAGTCTGCGATATTTGTGGATTTCAACCCAACATTTCAGCAAAACTTAATTAGTCAGTTGCCTTTTATGACATGCTTATTAAGGAAACATTTGACCTACTCTTTTTTTCCCCTCAAATGAGGCCTCAGAAGCCACATGGAAATGTGCACTGCTTGATACGGTCAGACCTGACCTTAGCTGATCACACACAGTGTTGTTTAGGAGACACAGAGTGGTGAAGCAGTAACATTCATCATGTGTCAGGTCCTTTGCAGAATGCTGCTCTCATGATGATCTGCCTGAAAAGAAACTCAGTCTCTCGCCAGCTCTCCCGCCTCAGGAACTTTTATATTCAAGGAGTAACTTAAATCCTCCTCGTATGGGTTTCGGGGCCCTATTATAGGGAAAACAAGAATAGACCCACTGCCTACCCAAAAAGCATGTCGTAAGACTGGGAGCTTTTTTCAAAGTCAGAGTGCATCTGCCTGAGAGGCAAGGAACCAGCAGTCTGCATACAAATGAGTCATATCTGTAAAACGAATGCACATGCAACACTCAGGTCCTGGAACAGGACTGCAGTCCAAAAGTGGATGGCTCCCATCTCCTCCTGAATTTCTCTCCAAGTGTTTTTAGGCTATTTTTTTTCTCCTATTCTGTTCTGGTGGATGTAATGACGGGTGGCTCACCCATGATTTTCCTGCCTCCCTGCTTCAATTGGTACACCCAGGGCATGTAGTATATTCAGTGAAAAATCAGTTTCCACGAAAGTAAAAGCCTCACAGCGTTCGGTTTTTTTAAGATGTCTCTCCGGTCCATAGAGGGTGTCTGCTCTCTCAATGCCTTTCACATCAGCATACCCTGGGATACAAATTTAGGTGATTTTGCGAAACGCTGCGTGCTGTATCAGATACAGCAGCTGTTTCTGTATATGCCCCACTGATCTTCTGCAACATGCTCACTGTGTCGCTGAGAAAGCATGCACTGGTGAATTCCTGAGTTTTCAGCCATTCTAGGGCCTTTGTCCCAGACACGGCTTCCATTGGTCTATAAAATATGGGGCTAGAACCATATAATTAATGTGTGTGTAGAAAAGGATCCCTAATTGTATCTGTTTTCTCACAATATAACTGTATACCTTCCTGTGTGGGTTCCTGGCTCCATTTTGGAGAACAAAGAATGGACCCATTGCCCTTCTAACAAGCATGTAGTAGGAAATGAGAAATTAGGACTGTTTTGTTCAAAGTCGGCGTGCACCTGCCTGAGAGGCAAGGAACCAACAGTCTGCATATGAATAAGCCAGATCAAGATCAAGATCAAAGTCCAGGAGTGGACAAACAACCTGAACTTTTCACAAACGTTTATAGCCGGTGAAGAAAAAGAAGAAGAAGAATTGTATACTTACACTTTTTGAGGTGAAATAAACAGGTATATCATCTGCCAAAATGCATACTCAAAATCCATCTGGCGGAACTTGAACAGACGTCTAAAGTATTTATGCCTTTTAGCCGTAGCAGTGAGGTGAGCATCTCGTTTATGTGACCCTGAAGTTGTGGAGCCATTACTGCTCGACCTCAAAAATGGCGACAGTGGACTCGACACAGGGCTCGGTGACACAGGGGGAGACATTTTAGCATGTGCTGACATGATCAAGTAATATCTGCAATAAACATACATTGGTTATCTTTTTAAAAATTAAGAAATTAGAAGAGTAAAAAAAAAAAAAAAGTAAAGTTCCCTTTTCACACCTTTCGGTGCATCGGGCATATGGGCAGAGCGTCCCATATTTTTACAGACCATCAGCACTCTGTGGGTAATGTGGTCAGCATTACGCCGGCTGTCTTTACTTTCCCAGGACAGCCCATCCTGGTACCCATTTTAGGCTGGGTCGACCTGCGACGTCCCATACCACGATAAAAATCCACGCAGCCCACGCAGGTTTCGATCGCGGTATGCTGGCTTACGAGTCGGACTCGCAACGCCTTAGCCACGGAATTAGAAGAGTACTAGGAATAAATTCAGTAATCCAATTCATTAACCCTTTCACGCCAGAAACTCTTAAGGTAAAAAGGCACGTAACTGATGAAATCCTGAAGAAAAACATTCTTTAAAAAAAAATTTTTAAATACATCACATTTTTTAGATCACTAATAATTTTTTTTTTGCTTTTTTAAAAAGAAATTTATGAAGGAGAGTAATCAATAAACACAAACGAAGCAGAGAATTTCTCAGATTAAATTCTCATAGACATACAAAACGATTTGACATGATGACTCAGATCATGAACCCATCACTCTATCAACCACAAAGAATAAATGAAAATTATAATGTCATGACGGCTAAACAAGGGATTTTTTCCACAATAACCCCCCCCCCCCCCTTCCCTCCACCCATTCTTCCCATCACATGCAATATCAATAAGTAAGTCACAAATGGGGGTTTTTTTTTTTTAAACACTAAAGAGGAAAACAACTTGAAAACTGTTTTTTTTTTTTTTTTTACACATACACTATCTTTTTATTTTTCTACATTATTTCCACCAACACTGATGCACTTGTCCCATCATTTTATCAGTCCTCCCAAACCTGCTGCATAGAACTGCATGCTCTATTCTGCAAACTATATTTTTACTTCACATTCAACTTTTGCGTCACTTACAAATTGCCCCCTGCCCTCAGTGGACCAAAAAGGTGGAAATCACTAGAGACCAAGTCGGGGCTGTAAGGTGGATGTTCCAGAAGTTACCACCCTAGATAGTTAATTTTCTCTGAGTTAACTAAGCTGTATGTGGTCTGGCATTAGTACTCATCTAGTCAGGAGGCCTGAAGTTTTCTTTGAATTGCATCATGAAGCATCGATATGAACTTTACAGTATGAATCAGCATTCACATTGCCACCACTTTTTTTTTAAATTGTTTAAAAACAATTCTTGACAAACTTAGAACACTGTCAGCATAACCTTCCCTGCTGATGGCGTAATCTCAAAAGGATGACCAGATCGAACTTCACCAACAATTTTATAGAGTCCTTGAAAAATTTGTTGTTACCTAGCTATGCACCGCTTTAGGGGATAAACATTTGTCTGCATAAACAGGAAGCATTTCCTTATGAATGTCCTTTGCAGGCAGCCCTTTTGGCCCCTTTCCAAAAAAAAACACACAACAGCAAATTGTTCTTTGAGGGTACACTCCACAAACACAGTCGCCATTTTGTCTCTGGGTTGCGAATGCAATACCTAGTGCCATCTAACAAATGGAGACATAAAAGTTCAATGTTGCTGACACCTATTGACACCTTTAAATAACCAAATACATTTTCCTGTCATCCCATTACCATATGTGACTTACTTATTCTTCTTCTTCTTCTTCGCGTTCACCAGCTGTACACTCTGGCGGAAAGTTCTGGTTGATCGTCCACTACTGAACTGCAGTCCCGCTCCAGAACCTGAGTGTTGCGTGTGCATCAGTTTTACAGATCTCATTCTCTTGAATACAGACTGTTGGTTCCTTGCCTCTCCGGCAGATGCACTCCGACTTCAAAGGAAGCTCCCCAATTAGTCGACTCTTACGACATGCTTTTGGGGAGGCAGTGGGTCTATTCTTGTTTTCCCCACAATGGGGCCCCGGAACCCACACAGGGGACTTACTTATTGACTTCCCCACATATTTTTTTAAGTAAATATAATTATACTCAATCCTCCTAAACAGTGTGCAAATGCAAACAAAACCAATGCCCTCAACTAGACTTTCTGGGAGCAGGCCGGCCAGCAATGCCAGTTTAGCTGCATTTACTGGGATTTATAGTGGATGTAATGCCAGATTAACCCTATCTCAGGACAAAAGGGCTAAAGAGCACAAATGAAATGTTCAAGCCACCTGACAAAGAATTTCCCGATAAAAACTGCCCTAGAGAGCCACACTAAAGAAATATAATGAACTCAGAGCAAATGGAAGACCACTCAAAAGATGAAAAAATGGCATCAGAAAAACTTTGGAGAACTAAATAAATTAATACAATTTACTGGAAAGAGAATATTGCAAGATGATTACATCTCCCCCGAAAACTTTGCTGAGACGACTGGGGAAAAAGAACTTTTCCCATTAACTCTTTTCTTTCCAGTGAATTTTTCATACAATTTTTCACACCTCCAACCTGATTAACAACTGGGAGCTGCCTGGTCTTGAAGTATGGCATCCGCCTCAAGTGCTAGAGGTCCCAGGTTCATACCCGATGAAGGCTGAGATTTTTTTCACTTGGACTTCTAGTAATTTCACCTAGCCTGTGGGTAGTAAGATCAGACCCCCGTGTCTAATGTTGAGCACGTTGGAAATCGAAAAGAGTAGCCTAACAGCACTGCCCGGGCAAAATCTATCCAAAGTATTTCAGGATCCTCGCCGGTGCAACAGAGTTCGTGCACTGCGCTGAGATTCTTCGGACTATGATGGTAGTTAGAAGTATAACGGAGCACTTATGGGTTACACCCTTGTGCCATGATGTTTATCCGTCGACTAAACTAAAACTAAAATGATTAACAACTGCATTAAACTTTCATTTGGCCACACCAAACAAGTAGAGAAATTGGGAAATAGATGTACTGAGCAAACAAGGACGTTCAAGAGAAACACTTTTGAGACAGGTCAAAGGTGCTGGACCGGATTACATTCATTATATCAAGGATAGAATAGAATGGAGAAATAAACTGCAAGCTCTATGTGACAAATAATGGTACAACAAAACAAGGAATAAACTGCATAATATGAAGACATCTGTGGCTTAGGGGTTGTTCACACAGTTTCATAACTCCACATCGAGTCAGATTTGTTTCTTCAAAAAATGACCGTGGTTTCTAGGTCGACACAGCCTAAAATGTGTGCCAGATTAAGTCCTAGGAAATAAAGGTGGCTGGTGTGAGCTTGACCAAATTACCAAACAAATGCTGATTTGTCTGTAAAATATAGGTCTAGCACTGAATGCCCAATATGCCTAATGGCACATAAAATGGTCCTTTACACACAGGGGATCAATGACCACGCCAGGTGATTTTGTAGCAGACTCTCTGTTTTGATTTTTACAACATTAAAACAAAAACATCTGGCCCCCAGAGTATGGGGAGGGTAGGGGGCATGTGGCAGACAATCCAATGTTTGAGAAACCTCATTTCATCATTAAACAGATATCTAAGCATTAAAATCAAAGGAGACCATGGGGCAGATTGAGAATTCTTGTAGAGATAATAATCGGGCAGACCTACAAACATTTGGAGTCATCCACTAAAGAAAAAAAATTATAACAAGGTAAACTGATATGATCCTTCAGATTTCAGTGAAGGTAATATGGTTAGGTTGACACAAACCTTCAGTTCTCAATAAAAATAATAATTCATATTTTTATATTGTGATTTACATAAACGATCAGTTCTCAGTGGCACTGACGTGTTTATACTGAAATGAACTTTCAGTTCTCAGTGGTACTGACATAGTTACATTGACATGAACCTTCAGTTCTCAGTGGCACTGATATAGTTACATTGACATGAACCTTCAGTTCTCAGAAACAATAACATGAAGAGAAAGTGGTGTGGGTCTGTAGAAGTCAACCTTCACTGCAGAGAGGTTGCACTTTATTGATATTATTTATCGACTGACTGAACAACAGAAGGGTTGGGTACATGTTTTGAATATATATAAAAAAGATGTGAGCCTTCATGGTAAAAAAAAATATTGTTACACAGGTCTTTCAGTTACAATACCATTATTAGTATTGTGTATCGGCTCTCCTTCGAACTTCTACCCCATATTATGGCGGCCAAATAAATACCCTATCAGGGCCTCAGTCCTATGCAAAAAGCGAAGTTCCTGCCGGGGAACAAATTGCTGCAAAACTATGATCGGCTCCGAATAACGAAACAAATGCTCTAACAAGGTCTCAGCGATATGTTAATTGCGGACCTGTTTCTGCGTCTATGCCGCACCGCCAACAGTATTCCCCGCACCGCTAGGCAGATGGGGGGCTAAACTAGATGGCTGGGACTCACAAGCAGCAGCTACCGCATCTCCTGCAATTACCTCCAATTTATTTGCTCGTGAGTCCAAGGCATCTAGTTTAGATCGCATGGCGCGAGGGAATATTCTAGGCGGTGAGTTTGATTGGAAGAACACTATTGCTAATCTGCGTCGGAGCAGGTGGTTTCCCCACCATCTCCATATTATCGTCTGTAATGTTGCGTGTCTCGAAATTGTCAATGGTCGCTAGTATCGTCTGCTAGTATCATCTGCTAGTATCGTAGGCTACTATTGTCTGCAGTGTTGCGTGTCATGACATTGTCAAGTAATCCTAGTTTTGCAGCGATATGTTCGGCGGAGGAAGTACGCATTTTACACATCTTCTTCTTTCGTTCGCCTGAAATAAGTTGTCTATATCAGCGATTTTGTCTCTTGCATAAATTTCACTGTTGTTGCTAATTCATTCAGTGGTCCATAGAGTTTACATTCCACTGTTGTTCTTTTTACACATGACTGAGGCCCTGTTAGGGTATTTGTCTGGCTGCCATAATATGGGGTAGAAGTTCAAAGGAGAGCCTAAATAGCATTAGTCAGAAGTATACCTTTTGAATGTTAACACATTTATTATTAGTAAAAATTAGAATTTTACATTTATTTTACTGAAATGTAAGGATAATTAGAAGAATCAGTACATTAAATTATTTAGTGCATGATGTATATACAATTTATGATAAAACTAATGAATGAAATCAAATCTTCCTATTCTTTTCAGTGTTTTTTTTTTTTAAGTTTTTACCTGTCAACTGAAGTACTGGATGCCTTAGTATTCAGTGTGCATTCATACTGATAATATCAATAACCTACGTCAATTACCGTTAGTTATAAAGTAACAAAAGCGGTCATGTCGTATTGTTTCTTCTTTTATTAGTATTAGTATTAATCCAGACAAACTGTGCAGAGAACAACTACTACATGAAGAGTTGGCAGCAGCAGTCTAGCGGAAGTCTTGTCTGTTTATGCGGATGTTGCTGCAACAATGGGAGGTCACCCTCGACTGTTTGTTGCAGAACTCAGCTTCTGAACCACAACAGCAACAACACAGGTATTTAAATATTTATATAATTAATATTTTAACCAAATTATTATCGTCCTTACATGCACCGGACCGCAGGTTATACCAGAACTTGTGTAGCCGTTAACGGTTGCTCTAATTATAACTTTACTGAAGATTAAACGAGGAATATGACCTCTGGAGTCTGGTGGTTTGTCGTCCAATTTTATTTTTTTTAATTTCTGTGGTAGACCATCAGGTAGGAGCCCGGAGAGGAAACACCGATCGTTCGATCAAACCTTCTCTTTGTTAACGATTAAAAACGGTCCCCATCTGTGCAGGACTGCAGGTTACACCAGCCGTGTGGTGGCCATTACGGTTGCCCCAGTTATACTTATTATACTTCTTTGGAGGTTGAAGTTGATGAACGGAGTATCATCTGAGATTTCATTTTGATCTGTCGCACACTCCGTACAGATTGAGATTTTTGGCTCTCCTTTCACTATAGGCCGGTAGCTGGAAAGCTGCCGATCGGCTTAGTAGGAGTTCTCTCCCTTGGCTGCATTGCAAACACGGAGTGGAAAAGTCAGGAATAAAAAAAGACAATGAGGTCGACAACAGGGCTGCCAATGCTTGGGTGTTTCCCCCAGATTTGGGTGTTTATTTGACGCTTCGGGGGAAATCTGGGTTTTTTTTAAGTAAATATATCCTTATATAAAAGTGGTATTAGTTGCCACAGATGTGACTCCTGCATATATGTATGACATAATGACCGATAAATTTGCGTGGTTAGGGGTAGGGGTAGCGGTAGGGTTAGGGTTAGATGTGACAATTGTAACGCAGGAGTTCTAAATAATCGCGCACAGTCACATACACACCCAAACAATCGACGGACTGTGGATGCTATTCAACCGGACAAGTCGGCACCGATTGGGCACCAGCCCCGCGCTATTGCCGTCATATTTGGGAGAATTCCAGTGGCACCACTCCCACAAGCATCAGATTGTCGGCCCTACTCCTAACCCAACCCCTAACGCCGCTACCCCTTTCCCTAACCCAAACCCTACGCAACTGTATGATGACTACACAACCGTATGATGATAGGTAAGTATGTCATTTGATTCGATTTGATTTGATTTGATTTTCCGCTCCATGTTTGCAATGCAGCCAAGGGAGAAAACTCCCACTAAGCCGATCGGCGGCTTTCCAGCTACCGGCCTGTAGTGAAAGGAGAGCCAGATTTTTTAATCTCAGAGTAGCAAACCTTCATATAGCAGTCTAAAAGGGGTGAATGGGTGGGGGGGGGGGGGGGCATAATTATTAATTAATTGTTTATATACCCAACTACTTGTCTGCAGGTTGCTTCATAACCCCCCCCCCTCCCCCCCCCACACCCCCTCCCCCTCCCTTTCCCGAATAATAATCGCGTTTTACAGTGGAAACACAGACTGAAAGATATGCTGGTGGAAAAGGGTGGCCATAATACCTTGAGCTTAAAATGAGATATTTCACTTACATGTTGAGCTGAAAATGGAGCATTCTAAGCCAGTCAGTTTTAACGCTCCCTCCAATAATTTTAGAATGTATTATTATTAATCATTGTGGCCTAATCTGTATGGGTTTTTCCAGTAAACGGGTGTATTTATTTTCTGCAGTTTATTTTGTGACAGATTTAAAATGGTTTTTTTTAGGAATATTTTTGGGGAATTCCCTAAATGCAGGACTTTTGCATTGTTTTTTTTCTTCTGGCTGCGAATACTGGACAATTAATGTACAAGCAAAAAATTTTTTGAGGCCACACAAATGTGGTTTTACAGAAGGAACCTTAGAATTCTGTGGACAGCCAAAAAAAACAGCAACCCATCAGTTTTTAAAGAGGAGGGTGGGAAGAAAACACCAGAGAGAGGAACATGCTGTGAAAACTGGAAGAATCTGTGGAAAAAGAGACAGAAGAAGACAGCACAAGAGGATTCTTGAAAGCCTTTTGTCATGGCCGGGAGGGTTGGTCCAGTGGTCAGAGCACTGGGCTTTCATGCAGGTTCAGTCCTCAGTAATGGATGGCAATTTTTTTTTCTATCAGGGACAAAAATAAAAGTCCTAACCTGCATAATTCATGGCAGCTACACCAGCCATGGGGTTTGAATTAATTCCCCAGGCTCACGACTCCCCTATCCTACACCCTCAGTCCAAAAATAAAAGTGGTAAATGCCAGCAGGAACGAGTTTTTGGTTTGCCAGTGGCGCTAGCATACATTTTGTTATTGTTTTTTTTTTAATTTTAAATCAGGTGTTGAATGAGCAATGCCTAAATACTATGAAGATATTGAGGAGATCAAGAAGAAAAAGAAGTATGCTTGTCAAGGAATCAGAGATGACCTGCTTGAGTGTCTGCTCAAAACTGAATGCTGTACAGTGGTCAGTGGAAATTGTGTAGTCTTACCATTGTTTATATAACTATCAGACAATTTGAATATTAATTACTCATTGATAACATTATGTTTACCCATACACACGCACACACATACATAGGGCTTTTTGGGTTCTTTTCTTTTAATTCACCCTATTTTGGGGACAGAGATTTCTTTGGGAGTTCCTGGGGAAAGTATAATACTGTAGATCTGTTAGGGTGTGAAATGAATACTGACTAACACTAGCCCTAACCCCCCCCCCCTTCCATTTTGGATTTTTCGGGGAACTCACCATGAAATAGAGTCCGTGGTGAACTATAAGAAAAGTACCCCTTTTTTTCTAGAACCAAAGATGGAGGTAAGTAAAGTAAAGGACCCTTCTCAACGTCTTCAGGCATATTTGGCATACAGGGCTAGACTTATTCTATAGAACAACTGGCACTCAGTGGGTGATGTTTGCCGTCTCTACTTTCCAGGACTTTATTTTAAAGTTGGGTTGACCTGGGAGCCAATGTCAGTTTTTTAAAAAAAGTCTTGTTTGATCAGGACATGAACCCATGACCTTGAGATCCACAGGCGAGCATTTCTAGCCACTACACCACGATAGCCCTCCAAAGGTATTGGTACTCACCACAGACTGTCACAGTAGTGCTGAAAAAAGTTATGTCTAAAATAAGCTACTGGTACTGTGTACCATTGCGCACCACCACACCACCAGAAAATAAAACCCTGTACGTACAAACACATGTTCTCTTTCTGTATTTTTTTTTCTCTCTCTCTCTCTCTCTCTCTCTCTCTCTCTCTCTCTCTCTCTCTCTCTCTTTCTTTCTGTCTCTCTATCTCTTTCACTGTCCCTCTTTCTTTCTGTCTCTCTCTCACGATCTTAATTGATGTTTAAAAATAAGGGACCTAACACAGTGGCCTGATAAGCCACTAACATGAAATGGGTTCATTGCTAAACTGTACTCACATATATATCATCTTGAAGGCACCATTAGTATTAGAACTTTTCCCTGGCTGCTAAGGTGATGATGGAGCATTTATTGGAAAGCCTAGAGCTCTGTGATATACTTCTACTTCTTCTTGTTCACCGCCTGTGATCTCCTGCAGAAAGTTCTGGTTGTTTATCCACTTTTCAACTTTAGTCTTGTTCCAGAACCTGACTTTTGAGTGCACATCTGTTTTACAGATCGGTTTGTTTGTATATAGACTGTTGGTTTCTCACAGATAAACTCTGGCTTCAAAGGAAACACCCCTAATTAGTCGACTCTTACAACATGCTTGTTAGGTAACCATAGGTCTATTCCCCCCCCCCCCACCCCACCCCTTCCAAATGGGGCCCTGGAACCCAAACAGGGATATTGATTCATTATGCAATAAAATTTTATTTAAACGTAAGCATCTCCTAAAATAGATTCCCCAAGGGGGAACACTGTGGTACAGATGTATTATTCCAGGTTGTTTAACATTTTCAGAAAAAGAAGACACCAAGGGAATGTATGCTTGACCCAGCAATCCCAGATGAGTGTACCAGACTACGTACAGCCTTTTTTGAATGCAGGAGATCCATGGTAGATACATGTTTTTTTTCAAAGACTATGGTCGTACAATTGTTTTGTATGAGGTTTTCAAGACATTGAAGCCCAAGTGTACACAAAATAAAAAAAATTTTGGGAGCTTTGTAGGATACTGAAGCAAGAGTTGTGCATTTGTTTTTGCAAGTTTTTTTTAAGGCACTGAAACAGGGGTTGTACAGCTGTTTTGTGTACGTTTTTTAAGGCACTGAAACAAGGGTTGTACAGCTGTTGTGTGTGAGTTTTTTAAGGCACTGAAGCAAGGGTTGTACAGCTGTTTTGTGTAAGCTTTTTAAGGCACTGAAGCAAGAGTTCTACAGCTGTTTTGTGTCACTTTTTTAAGGCACTGAAGCAAGTGTAATACATCACTTGCAATCTCTACCACTTGCTGGTGTTTTCACTTTGCTATGTTAATAAAATGACTTCAAAGGACAAAACTGAATCCGATGACTTCAGACTTCAAAGGACTAAACTAAGACATTTAGTATTCTGCTTTTATTATTGTTTATGTTCTTTTGGATGTTTACCGTTTCTAAGAATAGCCTTGTCTGCATTTTAAAGTTTAAGGTTTTATCTACAGTATCACAGTATTAATTTTTTTGGCTCTCCTTTCAACTACGGCCGGTAGACAACAGAAGATGGTTGGTTAGTCGGAGTTCTCTTCCCTGGCTACAGTGCTATTACGGACTGGACAGGAGGAAACAAAACAAATGACATAATTACTGTGTGTTGGCGATAGACAGCGTGCACTGCCCTGCTATGATCAGACGATTAGGGGGGTTGGGTTAGGGTTAGGGTGTGGGTTAGGGTTACGGTTAGTGTTGCAGCATCTCGTCTTCGCACAAACTCAAAGTAGCAACCCAAACCCTAACCCTGAACCTAACCCTAACCCTAAACCTAACCCACACCCTACACCTAACCCAGACCCTAACCCAAACCCTAATCATATGATCATAGCAGGGCAGTACACGCTGTTTATCGCCAACACACAGTAATTATGTCACTTGTTTTGATCCCTCTAATCCACTCCGTAATGTGTCGCAAGAAGCGGTAATTGAACATAGTCGCTAATTTGAGTCGCAGCGCGGGGTCTGCAAGGCATGTCGAGCTCACTTTGTTTTTTGATTTGTGCCCTCTCCAATCCGTAATTGCACTGTAGCCAGGGGAGAGAACTCCGACTAACCGGCCGTCTTCTGTTGTCTACCGGCCGTAGTTGAAAGGAGAGCCATTTTTTTAATGATTTACTTCTATTTACAGCTGGACATGCGAACAAGGTTTAGAGGAAGGAAGGATTACTAATGCTGATTTAACTACTTCATGGAGATCCATGTGGAGATGTGGTCCAGCTGTTTGCCTCACACTTTGAATATCCTGGGTTCATTTCACTTTCATGCTCAGTTCAGAGGTGCAGTTTTTAAACAGAGACCCATGGAAATCATTGCTGGTCCTACGGAGTTTGTGCTGTATGTGATGCTTTCAGCAGACAGCTAGCCATTGTGCACAGTGAGACAAGCCCTTTCGCATAATACGAGGCGATGAAGTGAATCTTCTCTGGATTAACTAACTTCTTTAAGCAGAACATTCAGCAGCTTTGTTCTTCCTATTTTTTTAAAATATACACTGTAGGCTTTTTTTTTTTTTTTTAATCTTTAGTTTCCAGTGTGGGTTCCGAGCTCCCTTTTGGAGAGAAAAAGACCAAACCCACTGTCTCCCTGAAAAAAGCTTGTTGTAAATGGTGACTTACTAGGGGTTTCCCTTTGAAGTCGGAGTGCATCTGCCTGAGTGACAAGGAACCAGCCAGATCTGTAAAATGAATGTGCACTCAAAACTCAAATTCTGGAACAACACAAAAGTTCAGAAGGGGGATGAACAACCATAACTTTCCACCTGAGTTTACAGCTGGTGAAGACACTTTAAGACTATCTGTGTATCTCATTTTCTCTTCATCACAAACATGCTTGCCTAAATCAGTTCTCCATAGAAAACTGACTTTGAAAACTTCACACTGGGCATGCAGGCAACATTACCGAACGTTTGAGAGATCAGCAGCAGCTTCCTTGGACAGTCTCAGTGGGGAAAAAGTAACTCATTTTGTCTTTCAGCTGTGGCTTGGAGGTACACAATTTCACCATTCTCTGATACTGGGTTTAATTCCAGGGCAGACAGTCTTTGTTTTTGTTTCTCTGATTGTTCGTGTGACCTTCCAGCAGCGGTAGAAATGCTGCTTTGCGGAAGAGATTGGGGTATCATCACATACTAAGACCAAAGGCAGAAAGAATTGGGTGCAGTGCCTCCAACCTTCATTGTGGAGATGGCACACAGTTATTATTATTATCATTATTATGTATCTCATCCCCGTTGTGGATGGCTAGATGTGGATCGGAAGGTCGTGGGTTCGCTCCTAGGCGGAGCCAGACTTTATTCAAAAATGACCTTCGCTCCTGGGTCAGCCCAGCCTTGAGTGGGTACCGGGTGCAGTCCTGGGAAGTAAAGTTGGCCGGCGTAATGCTGACCGGATCACCCAGCTTGTGCCGATTGGTCTACAAATTATAGGTCTAGCCCTATATGCCCTATAGGTCTAAAGGCGTGAAAAAAGGATCCTTTACTTTTTTATCTCATCTATAGACTGCCAAAGTTTTACAGGAAAATAGAGGATACCTTTTTTTTTTCTTATTCTGTAAGTTGTTTTGTTGGTTGATCAGCTAGTAAACGGCGTGGACAAAGAACCAGAACTTAACTATTTAAAGATTGGTTCATTGATGATCAGGTAACATGAGTCCTGAAAAGGGCTGCTTGATCTATCTGAGTCAGGCTGGTGTACAGATTTTCCTTCAGACCCAATATGGGAATGCAGTATCCGTTGGAATTGTGTTGCAGACATATTTCCTTCTCCAAGTGCAGCAACCAGTGAGATGTGCTGAACCAGTAGTTAAGCTTCACCTGTGCAGAAAGCAATGGCAAACTTGGGGGCAAGTGTCTTATATTTATTCAACCTCCACCCCTAAAAGGATGTCCTTTACCCACACAGGACTGCAGGTTACACCTGGCTGGGGTAGCTGTTACAGATGCCATAATTATAACTTCGTTGTAGGTTGAACATGGTATCTGGGATCTGCCTTGTTGGTCTGCCATCTAGACCTGAGACTTTTAAATCTCAGTATGGTACGGTAATCTTTGAGGTTGCAGTGTGGAGGGGAAAACTAATTGATCTATCGACCTACAAGGATCGTAACACTTGCAATGCTAGCCACACTGAGAGCTCTGTCTGTGGATGTCCAAGTTTTTGGATCGATCACTTTGTCCACTACGGGACAAACATCTCAGTCTGGTCGTATGTAGGTAAGGACGTATATCCTGAACTCTAGAGCTGTGGTTCTACACCAGCCAGGTGTAACCTGAAGTCGTATGCAGGTAAGGACATATAATTAGAACTCTGGAGCTGTGCTCCTACACCAGCCAGGTGTAACCTGTAGTCGTATGCAGGTAAGGACGTATAATTAGAACTATGGAGCTGTGCTCCTACACCAGCCAGGTGTAACCTGCAGTCGTATGCAGGTAAGACGTATAACTAGAACTCTGGAGCTGTGCTCCTACACCAGCCAGGTGTAACCTGCAGTCGTATGCAGGTAAGGACGTATAACTAGAACTCTGGAGCTGTGCTCCTACACCAGCCAGGTGTAACCTGCAGTCGTATGCAGGTAAGGATGCATAACTAGAACTCTAGAGCTGTGCTCCTACACCAGCCAGGTGTAACCTGCAGTCGTATGCAGGTAAGGACACATAACTAGTGGGTGGATATTGGTGTGTGATCTCAAAAGTGATGGTTTTTTCCTCTGGTTCATAAGTTCATGAAAGGCTCGTCCAGACAGTTTATAGCTGAAGATGGGTGTGTGGGCGGAAAGGTGCAAAAATCAATCATAGAAATGCTGTAAGCACGCACAGCACAGTTACATCCACACACAAAATTCAACCAATAAAGAACACGGTTTAGAAGTTTTTGGGTTACTTCCCATCATATGGCAGATAGGATAACTATAGATACCTAAAGGAATATCATTCTGTAAATATACCTTCTGAGATTGGATAATAAAAGATACTACTCATATTGTCATTCTGTAATGTAACTATACCTTTTGAGATTGGATTATGAAAGATGCTGCTCGTAATATTCTTTAAATATACCTTCTGAGATTGGATTATAAAAGATAAAAACTGTCTTTATTATACCGTGCCACTTTTGCGGTGTCGGCTGGGGGTCTTTGAGCCTGAGGATTTAGGGCCGCATGGCTAGTGCTGCAACTGTGGGCTGTGCAGGTGAAGATACCCCTCCCGACAGAAAAAAAAATCCCTAGCCTTACCAAGGATTTGAACATGGGTCTCCCTCATGCGAGCCCCGCATTCTAACTGTTCAGCGAGCGGCTTCTCTAGTGGTATGAAAGATACTGCTCATAATATCATTCTGTAATATAACTACACCTTCTGAGATTGCATTAAAAAGATGCTTCTGGTAATATCATTCTGTAACTATACCTTCTGAGATTGGAATATGTAAGATTCTGCATGTGATATAATTCTGTAACTATACCTACTGAGATTGGATCAAGAAAGAGGCTGCTCATAATATCATTTTGTAGCTATACATACTGAGATTTGATTATGAAAGGTGCTGTTCGCAATATCATCCTGTAACTGTACCTTCTGAGATTGGATTATAAAAGATGCTGCTGGTAATATCAGTCTGTAACTTTACCTTCTGAGATTGGAATATGAAATATTCTACTAATAATATCATTCTGTAAAATAAATTTTGTTTACTCTGATTAGAAAATAATTATCTGTAGGTTATGTTGCTCGTCTGTTAGTGGAACCCATAGGGGAAACAAGAGAACATTAACACTGTAACACATTGCTTTGATTTTGACAGTGGTGCTGAGGGCTGACTGTTCAGTAAGCAACGGCAAACTACTAAATTTAAAATTGGCTAGTAAAAACAAAATAGGCTGGGGTTGGTTCTGCAATGACCTGTAAAGGATATGCAACTAAGTTGTTTAAACTACAGTGGTACCTTGATATACAATCATTTTCTGATAAGTCCAGCTTGGTATACTTCCTTTTTAGACGCTAAACATTTTGTTCGCTATGCGACCATTGTTTGAAATATCTCTTGTATGCTAGAGCTTTTCATTTTGTGAGTAAAAATCATATGAGGTGCCTCAACCAGATCCAAGAAGGGAAAAGTTTTAGTGGAAGGAGGCTTCTCTTCCAAACAATAAGATCTTCTCCTCCTCCCTTCTCAGCATCATCCCAATCGGCACTCGACTCTTCTCAGCAAGGTAAAGTCAGAGTACATTTTCATTTCTTTCATCTAATTGCTCTTGTATTTATGTATTTTAGTATTAGTCAGTGTTTAACCCTTTGGAGATGATGTGGCCAAAATATCGGCCCTACACAAAGTAACCAAAAGGACAACTGGGCTTATCGGTCAGCCCTCTATAATAGAAGCCTTGATATTGGCTGGCAGGTTTTTATACCAGCCAATCAGACTGCTTCTCGTATTTCTTGCACATGTGAGCTCTTCATTGAGAAAGTTTTATATGTTGTGTAATTTTACATCAGTTTTTTTTTTCTGGGGTTACCTGTGCCCAAAAATGGCGAAAAGGACAATGGCGTCATAGCAACTGAAACATAGCTGGAGGCAGAAAAATGAGTAGAACCATGTGCCAGACTTGTCTGAAAAGCCTCCAAGGGCCTTACTTCCCCAAAATATAGGTGTTAGGACTAATTTAAGCTTCACCCATAAAAAAATTCACCCAAATTTTTCAGGTTAGTAATGTTTGTTCCCAAGTTTAAAAAAATTGCTTGCATAAATTATGCAAATCAGAATAGTTGTTAAGATATCAGTTGATTCATAAATATTGAGTTAGTATATCCTACATGAATATGTTCTAGCTTTGTGCATGTTAATTAAACGCTTTATTCTTTATATTTTTTTGTGTATAAACTATGAGAATCCCTTCCTGAAGGCTCAGCCTTCTTGGCACTGAAACTCCAAAAAGGCTCCGTCTCCAAAGGGTGAAATTATTTTATATAACCCTAACAATGTATAATAGAAATTTTTTTGAAGACCATTAATCATTCTCCCTTTATTTCTTATGAGAAAATTGACTTGGGGTACTTCTGTTTGGTATACGTCCAAGGATGTAGAATGGATTATGGAGGTACCACTGTGCCATGATTGTTACAGGCAATAAAGGAGGGCTGGCAGTAGACTAGCTAATTTTTCACTTAATAAAAACATA